GAAACTCTGCCAAACAATTAATGTGTAACATGTTGAAACTCTGCTGATTGGTTTCTGGGGGTTTGGCGAGCAACCATAATTCTAACGCAAAAATGTACATAATAATTATACAAAAAAATTATATCATATTGTAGCTTAAGTTCAGGATATAAAATCACATGCTTCTATATTTTCTGGAGCTTTGTCAATTAAAAATATAGAAATCCGATTGTTTTTGAAAAAGAGTATATAAAACCTTGGATCAGATGGCCATTATCCTGTTTATGTTCATTCTCTAGGCATTTTAAATTATGTTCAACGATATGAAAGGGAATATTCACTTCCTTATGTATTTTTCCTTGATGAATGAGCATTGTCAGGCCAGTAATGTAAATAACGTGAAAAATTTTGAAGTTAGGCCTCAATCTTCTTGTAACGCGTTCTTGTAAGATGCTAGAGATAGAAAGTAGAAGTAGACGAATCCTTTTATTTCATCGAAATGGACTTATTATTCTTCGACCAAATAATTTAACCTAAGGTTTCCTTGTCATTGCAACAACAATTTTCATCATAATAAATTAGGTGGATGTCCTGATAATACATTTATATATAAAATTGAAAAAAATCTTTCAGAGATTGAATAATTATAACATTTTGGCTGAACGTCTTGATAATACAATTCAAAATCTCTCAAATATTTTGAATAGTAATAATAGTTTTAATAATTAATCTTCGAATTTATTATATAGATACGGTGCTGGACTGAAGATTGTTTATAAAATTATACACAATTAAAAATAAAATAAGTAAAATCTTATTATAACTTATTTTTATAATTACTCAAAACCTACATAACAATTCAAAATGAACTCTTATCTTACATTAGCTAAACCACTTATTAATCTAACATTCAATTGGTCGACCACTATTTCAATATATTTCGGGCATGCTTTCTATCAAGTTTATTGAAACATCTTTTTTATTCTTCTTGCAAAGCAATTCAAGTCTATTTTTATTTAGGTTTTTACGAATCTTCGTTTCCAGCTCTTTCCATAGGTATTCAAGTCATAAGTTTGACTTGGCCAATTTTCTATAGTTATTATCTTATTTGTTCCTATCCATTTGTTTGTCAGGCATTGTCATCTTGAAATTAATACCCTCTTCCATTAAAATCTTTAATGACTAGTAGGAGCAATTGCGATTCTGATATTTCAATGCATTCATAGCTCTTCGTTTTTTCTTTTACCATCATTCCCTTGTCAACATGTTCAAGTTTTGGGACAATGTTTTCAAATGTTGTATCCGGTATCCATCACTTTTAAACAAAGTATACAGTACATGATCTCATCGCTCCAACAACATTTTCCATTTTCTAACAATACAATATTTCTTATCAACGCATCAATTTGAACAATTAATTTGTGATCCATCAGTCAATGAAAATCTTATAACCATTTATTCAAAAAAATCAAATTTCTTTATCCAAGGGAAAAAAAGATATAAATCAAAGAAGACGTGGAAAATAGAAAAGATCAGACTAAACCATTATTTTGAATTAATAATATTCGGGCGTAAAATTGTGCCTTAGTAAAATAACCAATGATAAATGCAAGTTATGTGACGCGTGTAATAAAGATTAATTAAAGTTTATGACAATGATGATTAATATTTATTTGTTTTCAAAATTGGAAATTTAAATATTATTATCTTTTCTTAATTTAGAAGTTAATTGACAATCAGTCATACGTATAAAACTTAATTAGAATACAATTAGAATACAAATTTGATTCTTTTTTTAAAAAAAAATAAAATAATATCTGTATTCCTAGATTACCGAGTAACACAACTTCACCATCACTGCCTTTATGATCGCAATAATTGACAAAAGAAAGAAAATTTCTACTCTAACCTTTTATTTTAATTGATTTTCTTTCAGTGATGTCAGTCGGTTGTGAAAAAATTGGCCTAGCCTATCGATAAGTTTTTTTTTGATAATTTCTTAACATTCATTTCATTATTTAGAAACAAAAAGAAAAAAACCTACCATAAATTTTTCCTCTCAAAAAATCACAATACTCGTAACAGAATAAAAGATAATAATAAAGAAAGTAATAGAAATCAAATAATAATTAATGGTGGCGAATTAAGAGATATATAATAATACTAGAAGTGATAGCAACAATGAATCATTAGCAAATAATAGTAATAATAACAATAATAGTAATGATAATAATAACAATACAATAATAATAATAATAATAATAACAGTACTTGTTTAGTAGCAGTGTTCCTATTCGTATCTCTAACTTCGTATTCGAATATTCGTAATTTTATGGAAATGGTACTAATATTCGATTCTTATTATTATTCGAATATCCATAACACTTTCGAATATCCGTAACAGTAACATTTTTTAAATACTTTCAAATTAATATTAATACTTTCAGTAATATTAATATATATATATATATACTTTAAATTTTTTTTTATTAATGTAACAACATTTCATGTAATTAAATATATAAATTTTTTAAACTACATTTTTACGAGCATGCCCGTATACATGATAATTGATTAATTATCCAAATGTTTCTAAACTTAAATAATAAAATAAATAAATAATTTGTTTGACTATAATGTTTAGACCATTTCTTATGAATTGTTACATTTATCATGACTAATTATAACGTAAATTATTACACAGATATTCGAAAGTCGAAAGTGTTACAGATATTCGAATATAGGTTAGAGGTTGGAATCGACTAAAATAGTCGACTAATTTAGTCAACTAACTTTTTTTTTAAACAACTAATAGTCGACTACTTTAGTTGTTTTATTTTAGTCGACTATTTTAGTCGATTATTTAGTCGACTAATACTAATTATTATTATTATTGTCTGGCCAATTATAAATGAAAATGTTTTTTGTGGTACAAAAAAATTTAAAAATAAAATAATGGAAAATAATAAAAATAAATATGCGGAGTATCAATATTATGAAGAAGATGATAATGGTGGTGTTGGTGCTGGTGTTGGCGATAATTATCCATGCGAAATAATAAACATTGATACAAGGTCAAATCATTCCAACAATTCGTTGGCTTCGAGCTCAAGCAGTGGTTCCAGACCTTTAAAAAAACGAATTATAACATATAGCTTCGTATGGAAGTATTTCGAGAAAATTAAAGATTCAAATGGAGATGAATTTGTAATCTGCAAGTTAATAATAATGAAACAGAATGAATATTCTAAATAGGATGTTATTCCCGTGACCATTTTGCGAAGCAAATGGCTACACGCTAGTATTAAAAAAATTTAGTCGACTAATTAGTCGAATATAGTGCCGATCATCTAAAGACATCACAAAATGTTGGCAATCTTTAAATGCTGATACTTTATTAAATATGGGCCATTTTACCAAAAACTCTCTATTTTTGCAATCTTTTTGACATGAGAAATAATGTAATAGAAAGTTTTTTTTGATTTATTTAGTAAAATAAAAAGTTATAATGGCTTAAAGTTGGGCAACTTTTACTATGTTATTTGAAATTTCGGCAACTGTCTAAACCACGATTTACCGATTATTTTCACGATTTACCGATGATTCACGTGACAATGTCGATTTATTTTTATATATTGAGTTCTTTATAAAGCAAGATCGGCACAAAAAAATTCGTCAGTGGCGCAGTACGTGATGTCTTTAGATGATTCGCACCATAAAAGAAACTTTGACCAACTAGTAGTCGACTAAGGATTTTTTGGACGATTCCAACCTCTAATATAGGTTCGATTTCTGATATTCAAATAGTTTTGCCAAATCTTGCTGTGCGAGCAAGAATTTACTTGACTATACCGGTAAGCACGGTACCATTCGAGAAGTTGTTTCGTCAGCTGGAAATATAATTACAAAGAAAGGAAACAGACCTTTTGAATGATATTTTTGATAAACAACAAAAAACAATCATGCATTTATTTTTTCGCAATATATATATAGCATAGTGGAAGTTTGTTGTTACACGAAATGTCATACAGAACTCATTGCTCCTGAAACTTCACCCAGTATATAGTTGTTACCTCTCTAAATTGGAGATCAAGTTCAGATCCAATTCAAATCCAGTTTATCACTTACTTTTTATTGCCAGAATGTTTGCCATGTATTGTAAAGTTACGTTGCACAATATAAAAAATTAGTGTAACATTTCAAATTTCCATTATGCTTATATATATATATATAATATTACTATAATCATTATAATCATTATAATCAAAGGAAACCCCGTTCTAATTCCTTAATGAAGGAATTATCCAAGAGAAGAAGCAGTCGATGATTGTCCATTGAGCCCAAAATAACCATATGAGTATTAGTACATATATAAACCCTTACTGAAGTTTCCATACATTTTTTCACTTAATATTAAAAATAATTTTCAAAATAATTATAAAAGGATGAATAGTATTTTTATTTCAAATTGGCCCAAACCCTATATTTCGCACTAAGCTGTTAGTATTTGACCAGGCCATCATCTGTCATCCATATTAAAAGCATTTTTTAAAATTTTTTTTTTGTTTGAATAAAAAACGAATAAAACGAATAATTCAAATATTAAGCTTGACTTGTGTTATAAACAATTCGAATAAATATTGTATAATGAATAGAAATACTAATCCATATATATATATATTGTGAAAGAGTGATCGTGAAAGTCTGATATTACGTACGATACACAAAAATATTAGAAGTTACGCACAACAAACCATATTTTATTATTATTATTATTATTATTTTAATTTTCCATATTTGTATTTATATATTATTTATATTATTATCCATTTTATATTTTAAATCGAATGTAATCTATTACTCCTGTTATTATTAATGTAGTAATGAATTAGCTCGTGAAAGTATTATTCATCTTTATGTATAAGATATTGGGAGCGCAGCGGCCAATATCAATGTTATCGGGCAATCACTATTAAGCTATTCTTTCAAACGTCACTGTTTATTAAAGTTTAATTATATTAATGATATTTGCATTTTTTTCTTTTATCATTTATTTTATATGCCAAAAAAAAAGGTATTATTTATTTATTTTTCTATTCTAATACTAACAATATATTTACTATTTATTCCTCCAATATATTATTTTTAGATATTTACCTACACTGAATCAAGTACTGAAGATCTTCGGCAACTGCGAAATTCAGGAAGAGTTCAGGCCACCCATAATTCGACCAAAAGTTGGAATAAAGTTCTTGAACTATTTCGTGCTGATGTTGGGTATTCCAGAAAGATTGAAGAGATTGATGACAAAAATATTCTAGAAGATCAATTGTCCAAGTTTATTCTTGCAATGAAAAAAATAGACAGAACTCCTTACCATGCATCATCAATCCAAAATTGTGCAGCTGCTCTTTGGAGACATCTCAATGAAAAATCTGTGCTTCCAAAACCAATTGATCTTCTTAATCCAAAAGCATTTTATTTATTTAATGAAACTCTAAATGGAAAATTAAAAACCCTCACATCTAAATGACTTGATGAACATAATGAAGCTGATGGTATTGCCTTGCAAGAAGTTCGTATGATTCTTTCTCACCCAAGTTTTCAAAAAACCACCCCTGAAGGATTTTTAAGGCACATATTTTTTTATAATTCTATATTGTTAGCACTTCGTGGAGGAGAACATCAAACTCTAAAAATAAATAACTTTCTCAAACGATGTGATGGAAGAATAGATATTCAACTTTTTAAATCCAAAACAAATCGACGTAGTTTAGATAATCCAGAAGCACAAGCTAAAAGTCATTAGTCTTCCTAATATAAAAGATATTATTAATGATTATGAGTTTTATTTTACAAAAAGATCAACAACAGCACTAGCTAATTTTTACTTAAAACCATGTCAAGTAGACAATAGTAAATTATATTTAATCTTTATTATTATTTCATTTATTATTTCATTTATAATTTATTTAACTTGATAAAATTTTATCTTTAAGTTTTATTCAACGCTCAATGGTATTTCAATCAACCATATGCACAAAAAAAAATTGAAAATCTCTTCCATTCTATATGTGAAGATGCTGGTTTGGATCTTTTTCATCAACATATCAGTAATCATTCTGGACGTAAAACATCAGTTCAAGTTCTTAAAGAATTAGGTTTAGAGTGATACAGTTGTAATGTCTATTACACGACATAAATTACAACAAGGACTTGCAGCATATGAACGACCAAAAACAGTCATACAACATCAAGGAATTACAGGGTTTTAGATGCAATAAATGGTATGTTTTACTTTATTTTTTTTTATATATTGTTACCAGGATCAGATGTCGACGATAATTTGGCCGAATCCTTTAATTTCGGGTCAAATTAAATTTTATTTCTATTATTATTTTATTTAATCTATCTATTTTATTATTTCTATTTTTATTTTCTATTTATTTATCAAATAACGTGTATAATATTTATTATCATCTGAATTTGTGTTACCGTATATCCATTTATTATTAATCAATCCGTACCACATTCATATTTATTTAACTTTATTTAATAGTAATAGAGATTAATGACGATTCTCCCGGAACGGGCGGATTCGCCCAAACCGAGCGGATTCGCGCAATTCGGGCTAACATGTAAATGAACATGTATATAAAGAACTTGATTTCGACCTAATGTAAAAGCAACTTTGTTACAAGTTAATTAGTTTCGACTAAATAAAACTAAATAAATAAAATAAAAATTTTTTATTTAAAACTTTTTATCTTCTTTAACCAAAATTATTCGCTAATCCAAAATCAATTCGTTGATCCCTATTCATTCTGATCCACACAAAAATAAAAATTTATAGACAAAAATGATGAATCTGATCAACAAAATACTACATCCCAACAACATACTACTTCCGATGAAACAATTTTACATAATAATCACCATAATAGCAACCTTACTTTTGCAAGTTCTTTTACAACAGCAAAATCATTATTACAAAGACAAGGTATATATTATTTTCATGATTTAATAATATACTGTATATTATTTCTGATTTATTATTATATGATTATTTTTTCTATTAAGCTCTTGCTCAATCATTCTCCCAAACTGATACTCTCCATCAATTGAACTTGACTGCTCAAAAACTCTTACTGAATCAACAAATATTTCCTTGACCAATACTGATACATCAATTAATACACCTACTTCAACAAGCGTATCTGGTTTACAGAAAAATGAAATACTTCAACGATTTCTTCAAGGGAATTTTCAGAATTGTACAATAAATTTGCATCTTTAAATGGTTTAATTTAAATGGTTTAATTTATATTATCAATGAAATGATGGAAATTTGCATAACATAATTGAATAATTAATAACATGATTTAATTATATCTTATATAAATGTTGTATAAATAGTATAAATCATAATGATGTCATTTTGTACTTAAAATAACAAGGCGACCAGAAATAGCTTAATAGTGCTGTTTGCCCGTTAGCTCAGAATAGAAATCAAAGTTAATTTTTAAATTAGATACAAAATTAATTATTTGATCTTAAAATATTTTCGTGAAATTTCAGGAGGTATAAAAGATTGAGTGTTCAAAAAAGGATGAGTGATGATAATAAGCAAAAAGTATCAATTAGGATAAATATAATAAATTAATTTATACATAAATCAATCGGATAATACATAGTATTATGGGTGATGAATTTGCGCGGACGACAAAAATCATATAAATGTATTGTTTATCCAAGATAAAAAAAAATTGAAACAAGTTCTTAACTAGCTTAGTTTTCTGATATCTTTATACATAAAAAGAATAAAGTTTGTCAATCGGCAATTTTTTGCCATTTTTGCAATTTCGTTAATTAGTAATGATTTTTGCCAATCACACAAGAAAATTCAATTGTGAAATTCTTTTGACGTCATGTATAATATTGAACCAAATGGAATAGTTAAAAATCCAATCATTGACTATTGAAATTACGTGACCGGTCAGTATACTTTGAAGAATAATTTGGAATAGCATGCAATATCCTTATCAACAAAGAAAATAATTTGCTAAACGGGTTAATGCTATTTTATCCATATGGTTGACAGAAATTGCAGAAATTGAAATATCTAGATCAACAAATTTGGATGTTATTATCTAAATGAATGAAATTTAGGGTAAGCTTTGATACTAATAAAAATCTAAACTCAAACTTGATATGAAGATAAAAATAAAAATAGACAAAGTTTGAAATGGTATTGATTAGTGTGTGCAGCGCCATTTTCTTCTAAGTGGCACTTTTTCGATTTTACAATACTCTTCACATATAAATTATCGATCTATCTATCCATAAAAAGATTTTTAAACTATTCTGAACCAAATGAAATGACTGAAAAGAATAAAAAGATGTAATAGTAAATTAATACACAATAACATACATAATATATAAAGAGTTATTATTTAAATCTCGTGCACCTTAATATGTATAAATTTTCTGTATTATTGAAATCTTTGAATTATTGATCAAGTTGACCAAGCCAATGATATTCTGCTAATCAATTTTTTAAATAATGTTTTGTAAGATGTGAGCACGATCATCTTCGTTATTGCCACCAGATTTCTTCCAACTGTACAAAGTAAACTATTTTGGTTATTATAAAATACATGTAACGTGATACGCTCCTCTTCAATGGTACACTGATTAACTCTTAACAGGAAAGAACTGGTCTTTTTAAAAAATACATTGATTTATGTGAGTGAGTCGAACCGAACCAAAGTAATAATAAAATAAAAAAAAAAGGAAAATTTTTTAGAGTTCGCATATTTATAACATAATTGTAAAAAATCTCAAATTTGTGTCAATATAATGTGAGGAAGAGGGAAGGAAAAAGTGGTTAAATCTCACTGCTTTAAATCTTTTCCTTTTAATATAAAATCACAATGTTTTTGCGTCTATTGTTTAAAAAAGCTCCTTTGATTGATAATTGGCAATGATTACTAATAAAACTCGAATGAAATATTAAATGAACTGCATTAACTTTCATTATTGTTTTGTATATAAAAAAATATTTATATTGATTGGTCGGTTAATAAATAAGCATATAAACCCCACAAAAAATTGTCTAATTTTTTAAAAATTATATTTTTTTTTTTTAAAAAAAAAATATTTTTTTTTATTAAAACAAAATGAACGATCATTTTTGTAATCCACAAACTAATTCTACTCCCTCAACAACTTATTCTACTTATTCTAATAATATTAATAATATTATTAGCAGTGATGATAATAATAGTAACAACTTTAACACTGATAACGGAAATTCTCAAAATAACATTAATAATAACCCTTTTGGTGTTTTCCCAGAACATCCTCAACTTCTACTTTCAACACAATCTCAACTTTCTTTACCTGGGCTCCCTTTACTTCTTGGACAACAATCCCTGATTTCGCAATATTCTCAACCTCGACCTTTTCCTTCACAACATTCTCAAGGTACACAACAACAAACAGAACCTCCAATTTCGAATTCTCACGAATCATACTTGGTAGATCATGACGCAACAAACCATCATCACCTTCAACCAAATAATCAAGCACTAATTAATTCAAGTAATAATGTATTAGATGGACATCTTGACCATATGTTTCTAAATTTAAATAACATTCATGAAAACCTTTCTGGGATTTTGAATGATTATGGTATTTTAGCTCGGCGTCTTAATGATGCAATTCAAACTATAAATGCTATTGGTAGAGATATTTCGGATATTTTGAATAATAATAATAATAATAATAATAATTCAAATTAATCATGTGATAATCCAATAACTTTATATTTATATTTATATTTTTTTTTTTATTTTGTGTAGAAATATGACGGAAATGTGTCATGTTAATAAAATATAAAATTTTCAAAAATCTCACGTGCAATGCAATGTTACATTGGCCTATTTACTCTTCCCAAAAGAGAAAAATAACCTTGCTGTTATATTTGCTAAAAACATTGAAAGAAATTGAGCATCTGTGGCATTGGAGTCAAGCACCAGAGAATGGTAAAAGCTGCAAAAGAAGAATATCTGGAGTGTGAGTATCATCTAGAATTTAATTTCTTTTACTTTCTCGAATATAATACAATCATGCATAGAATCTATTAGTTATAAGCAGAGATAAATTTAACGCATAAATATATTACTTTTTATTTCCCAAAAGCTATATTTATCTGTGGGCCTAATTTATAAAGTGCTTCAAAATATTGTTAGAATTATATTCATATTTAATATATAAAGAGAGATTCTAATATTTAATTTTATATGTAAATTGCTTTAACTGCCATTTTGACCGTGAGACAATGGTTTTTTTAAATTAAAAAATTTATTCATCACTAATGTGAATAAAACCATTAATTATTATAAACAAGAAATATTTGTACAATTAAAATTTCTTCATGTCATAAATCTCTTGGTTTGTCATGTAAACTAGATATGTTGGTCATCATTTATTATAAAGTACTTTAAACAATTGATTGCTGTGTCTAACTTATACGAGTTAAGATTAACATTAATGCTGACATTGACAAGATAAAAGGAAACTTAAACTACTATGATTTAATTGGTTTAGCTTACCTATTGATCTATTTGAATTTGCCGACTATTTATTATGTTTCAAGCCACCGTTAATTTCTAAATTTATTCATAAAATTTACTCACATTTATTTAATTAAATAAAGAAATATTAATTTTTTTAACTTGTAAAAGATTTATTAAATTTTCCACTTACGTAACAAAAAAAATTTGCCTTAATGTTGGTTTTCAAACTAAAAGTCAAAAGGTTTCGCCATAAGTCGAAACTAGTTTTGACCTTTGACTTTTGATTTAGTTTTGACATATAAATTTTTAATTTTAGTTTTTGACTTTCGCTTCTTCAAAATAGCAACACTAGTACTAATACTAATAAAGAATTGTTAAAATTTTTATAGTTAATTAATTTTTACAAAAAGCGAAAAATAAAGCGAACCTTTACATATTTGATCTACAAACACATTTTCTATAAACAACAAAACAATTAATTTTGTTTTCAATTCAACACCCAAATTTTACAAAAAAAAATTCCTTCCCAAAAAAATATTTTAGTAATAGAAAATAATTCATCAACCCTTAATCCTTAATCCTTAATTCATTAATTCATTGAAAATTGAGCCGCGTTTTTATCTAAAGATCTACTTTGTTGATACTTTATTAACAAATCCTTTTGTAATGGCAGTAAAATATTATCCCTTAAATGAAACAAAATTCAGTACAAATTTGGACCGAATTTTGCTCTTTTTTTAACTCCAAAAATAATAACTATTATTATAATAAACAAGCAAATTTTTATATATTTTAGAAAAGTACAACTTCTATACTTTATGTGATTTATATCGGACGTTTTTTTAAAAAATTATTATTATAGACATTTTGCGCATTTTTTTTTTTGAAATTTTTTTTTGAAATTTTTATAAATCCGATAGTAAATTTTTTTAAATATTATCCTCAGCCACTTTGTTCATAAACTCAATTATGTAATTTGATATGTTTAAGAGGTTTCTGCATAATTACTTATAAGTTTAGAGTGGATGATTATAGGTCAACGTGACTCTACAAAAATATAAATGATCAACAAAGAAAAAACTTGTCAAATTTTTAGTATTAAAAAAGATCGGCGATTATTAAAAATAAAGAACAATTAATGTTTATAAGGTATTATTGTAATATGTAATCCGAGTAAACCGTTTATTAAGAAAGGTTGTGCTGAGACCATAGGAAGGTGCATTTTTTTAACCATTTATAGTTACAATTGGAAATTCTGACCATATTTGTACCTACAGGAGAGAACGTACTGGGAACACAAAATTAACAGGAGGGAACACAAAAATTTAACCCATGCAATTTTGTTGATTGACCAATTAAAATCGTGAATTTGATAACGTAGAAATAAATATGGGTTTGATTCATTTTGTCAACAAT